TACAAGTTCTCAGTCAGATAATGTCAAACCCGTCGAAGAAGTATGTTGGTATCACCGCCAATACGGTGGAAGAGCTAGACGTTGTCGGGCTCCCTGCATTAGGCACGACCCAGGGAAAACGAATAGCCCGCATACTAGCACTACAAACGTATCATTTAATAACCAAGTAAACCGACTGTTTTACGTTAAGGATCGACGTTCTTCCATCACGTTCCTCATCGACACAGGAGCGGAAGTCAGCGTCATCCCAGCGACCGCTAGCGACAAGCACTCGAAGCCTACGTACAATTTGCGTGCGGCCAACGGTTCTCCGATAGCTTCATTCGGTCAGCGCATGATGAACCTAGACCTCAATCTTCGCCGAGATTTTCAGTGGGTCTTCATGGTTGCGTCTGTACCCTTCGCAATTATCGGTATCGACTTCCTCCGACATTTTGGGTTGCTTGTTGATGCTGGTCGCCACAGACTTTTAGACGACCGTACGAAACTAGGTGTTGATGGTGTCCTTTCAGATGCCCCGGTAATCAGCCCTGTATTTCGGATCGCAGACGCACCGTCCGACTACTTGAGCCTCCTCTCCGAATACCCGCGACTGGTTCGACCGGCTGCAGAGCTTCCACCAGTCACGACAGAGGTCGCTCACCACATAGTTACGCGCGGTCAACCAGTTAGCGCACGACCAAGACGGCTTGCTCCAGACAAACTACGGGCAGCACGAGCCGAATTTGACCACATGCTTCAACTTGGTATCGTCAGACCGTCCAACAGCCCATGGGCGTCGCCTCTGCACATGGTCCCGAAGAAGGTTGTGGGGGACTGGCGTCCTTGCGGCGACTATCGATCCTTGAATACGGTAACCACGCCTGATCGCTATCCGATCCCACACATAGTGGATCTCACCGCCAGTCTGGCGGGTAAAAATATCTTCAGCAAAATCGACTTGGTACGCGCATACAACCAAATTCCGGTAGCCGAGGCGGACATCGCTAAAACTGCCGTGACGACTCCATTTGGTTTGTTCGAGTTTCTGCGTATGCCATTTGGCCTAAAGAACGCCGCGCAAACTTTTCAGCGTTTCATCGACCAAGTTTGTCGCGGTTTAGACTTCGCTTACGCGTATCTTGACGACATTTTAATCGCAAGCTCTTCACGAGAAGAGCACATACGCCACGTACGAACACTTTTTGATCGTTTATCTCAACACGGGGTGACGATCAACGCAGAAAAGTGTTCGTTTGGTGTCGATTCAGTTAATTTCCTGGGCCATCGTATCTCTTCTGCAGGCGTCGTGCCACTGCAAGATAAAATTCAAGCCATTATCGACTACCCCGAGCCTCATTCTTTCAAGCAGCTCAGGCGTTTTGATGGCCTGGTCAACTTTTACCGTCGATTTATACCCAACTGCGCCTCTCTGATGCAACCCCTCACGGACCTTCTCCGAGGGAAACTCAAGACGTTCGAATTTCCTACCGCAGCACGCGCTGCTTTTAAGTCGCTGAAAGAGGCTATCGCCAACATAGCTTCCATAGCGCATCACGATCCGACCGCCCCACTGTCCCTTAGTACTGACGCCTCGGACGTCGCGGTCGGCGCTGTTTTGCAGCAACGCGTAGCCGACACGTGGCAGCCCTTAGCGTTTTTCTCCAAACGCCTACAACCTACCGAATCTCGCTACAGCACGTTCGGTAGAGAACTACTTGCCGTATATCTAGCGATACGTCACTTTCGACACGTCCTAGAAGGCCGCTCCTTTGTCGTCTTCACCGACCACAAACCCCTAACTTACGTGCTCGGCTCGACTACCGACCGATACTCTCCTAGAGAGTCGCGCCACCTTGACTATATCGCTCAGTTTACGACCGATATACGGCATGTCTCAGGTGTGCACAACGCCGTCGCCGATGCACTTTCCCGCATTCAAGCTATCTCCGCTGACGCCGGCACTGCTATCGACTTGGCAGCCATGGCCACAGCGCAACTCAAGGACCCTGAGGTTGATCTACTACGCAGGTCTCCCTCATTGGACATACGACCTGTTCCGCTGACATCATCAGACGGCACTATACTCTGCGATCTATCTCTGGGCACGCCGCGCCCAGTCGTCCCACGTGAGTTTCGGCAGACCGTGTTCGACGCGTTGCACGGCTTGTCTCATCCAGGCGTTCGTGCATCGGTTAAACTCGTAACCGCACGATTCGTTTGGCGCAATGTTAATCGGGACGTCCGTACCTGGGCAGCTGCTTGCCTTCCGTGTCAACGCGCGAAGGTGCACAAGCACACGAGAAGCCCATTAGGCACTTTTCCGACGCCAGACGCACGCTTTCATCACGTGCACGTCGACCTCGTAGGTCCTCTGCCGCCTTCCAAAGGCTCGGTATATCTACTGACCTGCATCGATCGATTTACTAGATGGCCTGAGGCCGTCCCCATCCCAAATTGCTCCTCGGAAACAGTAGCGAAAGCTTTTATGGAGCGCTGGGTAGCTCAATACGGCTGTCCCGCCATCGTGACCACCGATCGAGGGTCACATTTCTCGTCGACCTTTGCCACGTTGCTTAAGGATTTAGGCTGTCGCCACGTCCAGACGACAGCGTATCATCCGGCCGCTAACGGCATGGTGGAGCGTTTTCACCGCCAGTTGAAGGCAGCGCTACGTGCGCACGCAGATCCTTCATGGTCTGAAACGCTTCCCCTCGTTCTCCTAGGTTTAAGAAACACGGTTAAGACTGACTTCGACGCCACACCAGCGCAGCTAGTCTACGGTTGCACGCTGCGGTTGCCCGGACAGCTGGTAGCACCAGCCCCATGTACTTCCACTTTTGACTACGGAAGTTACACTGACCGATTGGCTCACCAGATGCGTGAGCTACGTCCACCCGCTCCTCGATCGCAGAAGACACCAGTGTACGTGCCCGAGAAGCTGTCTACGTGTTCACACGTCCTTCTTCGCGCAGACGGTGTTCGACAGCCTCTTCAGTCGCCGTACATAGGACCCTTCAAGGTGCTGCATCGTGCGAGTAAGGCGTACACTATTGACCGCGGTGGTCGACACGAAGTCGTCACCATCGACCGTCTAAAACCCGCCTTTATGGAAGAAAACCCCTCGCCTACTTCGTCTAGTAGTGCTTCGTGCGACGTTGCAACTCATCGCACTAACTTACATCATCCTAGTCCAGTTCAACCAGACCACGATCTCGGTCTGCAAGCCGTCCCAACCTCTCCCGAATCTAGCCCGCCGCCTCCCACGACCAATCGCCGTGGTCGGGAGGTGCGTAAGCCCGTCCGCTTCTCCGACTATGTACAGTGTAAATACTTTTAACTTTGTAGATATTGTATATATTTGCCTCATTTTTGGTCGATTAACGTTTTGAAAACAAACAAAAATATCAAAAACCCCCGAAAAACCTTTTTCGAAAAAAATATTCAAAAACCAAAAAATATTTAAACACGCAGCTCATTCGTTTGTTCTTTTTGGCGTTTTCTGCGCGTGTTTTTCTATTTTCTCGTCTTTACATGCCCCAACCCTCCCCTTCGATCGACTGGCCCACACGAGGAATGTTTTCGAGGACCCTGACGCGAACATTGGTCGCTTTTTCGCGGGATGAGGATTGCTTCTCCGCGGGACGAGGATCACTTCTTCGCGGGACGAGGATCGCTTCTCCGCGAGACGAGGGTCACTTCTCCGCGGGACGAAGATCGCTTCTTCGCGGGACGAGGATCGCTTCTCCGCGAGACGAGGGTCGCTTCTCCGTGGGACGAGGGTCGTTATGGCGCGGGGCGGGGTGCGGCGGGGGGAGAGACCACTCCCAAGCGCACCGTTTGGCAGCAGCGGAGGTTGAGGTCCTGTCGGCCTTTTACTGGACTAGCCAGTTTTTTTGTAGTCCGACAAGCCCGCTCCAACGGCTCGCCGAAATGCACCCTGCCCTGCATTCAATAAATAACGAATCATAAACGACACAGCGGACTCCGACTTCTGATGAACCCCCATTTACACGAACGCACGCCTATTTTTACTCGGCGCGATTTCGCCTCACGAACCCCGTTTCAACATTCCTTTTCGATTTCGAAGGCTTTCTATGTTCAGCCTTCTAGGGGGGGGAGCTCTGTAGCGCCCAAAAAGATAACTCTGATCTTTCGTGTACAATTTACTTGTTGACCGATTGTACATTACTCCTTCTTGTTTTAATCTTACAACCGGCTCGACACACAACTGCCTTGTAAGTCCCCGCGCTCACGTGTACGCTCTTGCCTCGCTTCATCCGTCCGCTTATTGTTGTAGCCCATCGAATACAGTCCGCTGTGTCCGACTCCAATTGCCTTCTGATATCCGCGCTTAATTCCGCGCACCGTCTCGGACTAGTATTAACTAGTCCTACACATTGCACTTCGTTTGTTTGGGTCAAACACGCAGCGTTCATGCATCCACTTTGCGACCAATCAGACGCGACCTGCTGACATGCGCTCGTCCACGCCATCGACACACATCTATGTTCTCTATAGCTGGCTCCTCGCCAATGCCCTATTTTTAGCTTAAGTCACTTTAGCGTTTGTCCAATACATGTTCATTTAATGTGATGCGGGGAGGATAAAATATTTATTTGAGCATTAGAGTAAATGTACTAAGCATCTGACACAAAAAATTTATAACCACCCAATGTACATCACAGAAAAACACAGTATTGCTAAAAAGTGATAAGCAAGCGACTGTACATTTGACGGTAAACGCTTTTACTTTTACTTTTAAATTGCTAGTTTGTCCTATGTGTAATAAGCATATATAAGCAAATTGTTTGGACCTGATTTATACTTACAACAAGGCTTATAGGCATATACGTAGATAGATCACTTTATATATATATATATATATATATATATATATATATATATATAACAGTGTGATATGAACCCATTATACTTAACTAAGCAAACATAATATATATATGTAACGGTAATATTATAATAAGCATTTGATTGATTGTAGTATTTACGTTGCAACTCACCTATGAACCGAACATTATGTTGTTGTATTCCGTGATAATTGCAGATTTTTTCCGAAAGAATAAAAACGGGCCTTGTGAAACGGTGCGATGATGAATAACCAACAGGCAGGTTTAATGGGCATAATCTGAAACAGCCAATATTCCAGAAAACAACTGCCTAAAATCGTCAAATCAATTTCAATATTATTTTGAGCACCTTATTTAGTAGTAATTTTTCACGAGTAAATTTGCACGCTGAATCCCACACTTGTAACAAATCTACAGGAATAATTTTTAGAATGTAAGCGTTACCATTGAACATTTTCTCTGCGTGCTTTTTTCTAACATGATTGCAACCCTCATGCATGCATAACATTGTACCACGCGGTAGTTACCGTTGCTGTGCGCGATTTCAAGGTCGCTTGGAAAAGGAGACGATACTAACCGTTCACTTTTTTATTATAACAACTCATTCTAATTTGCGCATTCTGCTGTATGATTCAGCTTGTATTTTATTTGTGTTGCACACAGCATTCTGTATGTAGCGCAGGTACTGCTCTTTGATTTACAGGTCAGAAGCAGAAACACTGCATTAGGAGAAAAAGTTAACAATCCGCGTCATCGCCATCCTAGGTAAAAACAAATCTACCAATGAGGAATCTCGGTCTTAGGATAGTAATCCTTTTGGTCCCTTAGTAACATAAAAACTGGTAGAGACCACAAACACAGCAATATCCCAAGCGCCGCTGATGCAGTTGTCATCTATCCACGCGACGACAAAAGGTCGAATATGGACTCTGCATCAAAACACATGTCTGCAACATTTTTCGCTTGAAACACTGGTATTCAGCAATAACAATATGACCGGGCAACCAGTTTCGGAAATTCACCACTCGTCGCGCAAAGCAATGAATATGTGAAACGTGGTCCATACGTGGAACCTCCAGTTTGTAAACATCCCCGCTGATGATAGATGCATTTTTGTCGCAAAACACATGTCTCGATAGAGGAAAGTGTCCCAGATGAAGGATCTGAATGTTGTAATCAAATAAATACGTCATCCCCTGTAAACCAGTGTGTGTAGTTGCTGTTTATCAATACTTTTATGGTAGGATACGCCACGAAGCGTAAATATCGAGCAAGTGATCAGGTGTTGTGCCTTTTGCAGTTTTTTCATCTCACCTATGGCGAACAATGGCGGCGTACAGCCTGATTGCTGTTCCTTCCCTCGGCTTACGCGATCAAAGCATGCATAAGCTGGAAGACTGCACTTTGCTTGTTTAGTTTGACGACCTGAACTCCCATCAGGACAGCACTTGTAACGAGAGTGGCCGGCTCACGCTAATGGACTAGTGGCGAGTACCGTTCCCAGTGATGGAAAAGAGAAGGCACGGAAGTGACGCGACGAATGTGTATTGTGGAGCAAGCTGTTCCTGTGTATTAGCTAAAAATCCGACACCGAACGACGCAGCTAGCTAGGGAAGGAATTGAGGGACCGCGTGTTGAATCCAACCCTGGCGCCGTGTGTGTATATATCGCACTTATGTTGGGTCAGACAAACGAATGCAACATACACATCAGCATCCTGCGAACAACCTCTAAGTGTACAATAAGGAGGCAAATTTATTTAATATTTTACACAACATACTCAGGCAATCCAGGGGAATCTACGTATTGCTGCACTGCATTCCCCCAGAACGAACTATGGAAATAATCTTGCAATCAACTTGAGGACTATCCGTCGCGGGCCAGCTTACCAAGAGACCAATGGTGAAACCTGATGCAGCTGCTGGGGGTGAATCAGGCGATCGGATCCTAGCGGGTTCCCACCTGTATCCACCCTAACGGTATTGAAACGGAAAAATATGTTTGCAAAAACGGTTCGTAAAGGGTAGCAGTTCAACATGAAATGCTCAGTGTACAAGTTGAGGCGTCCGGCTCTAATGTAAACTTGCGACCGAGTTGATAGGCGTACATGGAAGGCAAACGATAAAGGTCAATGACAATACTTTAGCGCCTGTAAATTTACTTATCTTTCATTGTACATTCCTTTCCTATTACAACCAATTCTTGTACATTAACCTTGTATACTTGTTTTGATTTATAAATAAGACACTTTTTGAACCACGCGGGCAAATCGACGTGTTCTCTCTGTGTTCTTGTGCCACGGATTTTATGGCATTGTCGGTCACTACATTCTAACCTAGAGCAATATTCATCTACAGATCTCGTCCCGTCTCAACTGGTTTCACCATCGTCGTTTGTCATCCATCGGAGTGGCTGACGCAAGAGGAATAGGAAGTTTTATGTGGTTGGACTTTTAACCCACGTCGAAACCCTTCTGTGAGTCTTGTTATTTCTGATCATCATTTATTCATCTTTATTTCTCTTTGGGTCCGAGTCCACTACAATACTACATAACAATAACAAGTGCTAAACTAATCTAACCAGAACATGTTTTTTGGGGTTTTCAGAACGTTACACTCTTTTTCTGTGTCGGTTTCAAACCTTTTGCCATTTTGTCTTATTTTTAAGATTGATAAAGGGGATCTAAGCAGAAAATACAATGTATGGGCAAAACGACGACGGTACTGTACCTGTCGGCCAGACCTAAACATTCTTGATGCACTGGAGGATGTTGGAGGATTTGCAGTAGATATTGCTGGACAGCTAGAACTGTGTGTTCCTGTTGTAGCGCTAGTGAATACTAGGCCTGGCTGGTGCGCGAAATTAAGCACTGATATCATAAAGCAATTGAAGTCGGACACATTGGACTATATTCGATGGCTTATAAGAAGACGCGGACGCATGAAGGGAGACTAGAGCAAACATGTGAGCGCGAAACTTACAAGACAGTCAAGTGTCGAGCCGGATGTAGGTCAACATGAACGTAATGCAAAGGAGATTAAAACAAGAAAGCATAGTGTATAGTAGATCAGCAGTGAAATTGTACACAGAAGATAATAGTTGCATTTTGGGGCGCTACACTGTCGGTGGAACAGGCATATTTATAGAGGCATCATCGTTGTTTATATGGGCGACCTTTAAGCGACTAATAGATACTGGCAGACGCTTTCCGCAGCGATCGATGACATAGAGTATCGTTCCGTTGAAGGACTCTAAATAGTACTTCATGTGACGGGACCATGGATGGCTTGTTGTCGTCATCTCGTACGAATTCATGCGTACAAGTTTGAAACTCCGGCGGTACAAACGTTTTATGAATCTGGACACGGGAGTGAGTAGGTGCGAAACGACGCATGCGTGACGATAGTTGCTTCGCAAAAGAAGCGTCATAGACGATGAAGTTTGAAGCTGTATAAAAATAGTCTCCAGGTAGACGAAGTAGTTGAACGAAAAATAGTTCGGCGCAAGGTACCTGCAGGTCGACCTTAAGGCTAGCACGTATGCCTAACGTGACAGTAGGCAAAGACTCTGTCAATTGAAGGGTGTCGACTGTAGTGAGCCTGGCTTTTAGTTGACGATGGAAACACTCCACCATACCGTTTGATTGTGGATGGTAGGAGGTCGTAGGGGAATGCTTACAGCCTAAAAGTTTTAACATCTCTTGGAATTGTGCACTCTCGAAGTGTGGTCCTCTGTCTGTCGTTACTGTTGCTGGATAACCGTTTAGAGACCCAGTGAATCATGAACGGTTGAACGATCTACTCCGTGCTAACGTTTGGTAGTGGAACTGCTTCTGTCCACCTGGTTAAACGGCCGATGATTGTCAACTGGTAGACCGTGCCGATAGAAGGTGGAAGGGGACTGACGATATCCCTGTGGATGTGGGCGAGTCGAGAGCTGACTGTTAAGAAATGACCAATAGATGCGGCTACATGGCACTGAACTTTCGACTGTTGGCAGCGAAGACATGTGTGATCCCACTGAGCAACTGCTCGGTTGATGTTGCGCTACAGGCAAGGTTACGTGACGAGCTATATCGAGGCGCATATACGTGGATGTGATAAAGTATGGTGTGCCAAACAATGTACGGGGAAAATATATGGAACCATAGGACGCGGACAACTCTGTGAGACATGGCAAGGAATAGTTTCTTCGGAACTTCATAACAGAACTGGTCAGATGCGAAGGGAGCTAGTCGTTTGGAGTTGATCAGTCTCCGGACCGATCTGTTTTGCAGCGACCATTGCTGCTAGATCGATGCTGTGACCAGACGTAATTGAATTTACGCGGGGCAAGACGTATGCGACAAAGTTTTGCACACCTGAGACTGCCGTATGTTTGACATGAACTGTGAGACATAGTCTAAGTGGCGGATCTCTCTAGGAGATTATTTATCGGATGATGAGGGTATGGCGTAAACTAAAGGTTTGTGGTCGGTGAAAATTACAAAGTCTATACCTTCAAGTGAAAATGGAAAGTAGCGAATGACTAAATAAACTGGGAGGAGTTCTCTCCCAAGCGTGCTGTAACGTGTTTCGGCTGGTTACAACGGTCTCAAAAAGAAACCTAATGATCGCCAACACCCATCCACGGGCTGCTGAAAGACTGCTCCTATCGCTTCGCTCGAAGCGTCTGTTACCACAGCAAGAGGAGCATCTGCTTGTGGATACGTCAAAAGAGCAGTGTTTGAGGGGGATTGTTAAATTCTGCATAAAACGTTCCAGCAGCATCGGTGAAAACGAAACCACGCTGACTGCCACCAAGCAACTTAGTTAGAGGCTGTATTAGCTTTGCACCATTAAGGGTTGAAACGACAGTAGTAAATTACTACGCCGAGAAAGCGTCTGAGTTATTTGCAAGATGAAGGATCAGGAAAATATTTGATGGTGTCGACTTTTTCAAGAAGGGCCTTGATACCGGATGCAGAGATCCGATGACTCAGAAAATCAACTGACGGTTTACTTAACTCGCACTTATCAGGGTTAACGGTAAATCCACGGTCGCATAGAAGACGAAACAGCAGATGCAGTGTTCCAGATGTTCTGTTTTGGAGGCGAGTTTTACCAAATTGTCGTTCAGATAAGGATATAAGAAATCTAAGCCGTGTAACATCATGTATGAGCCTTTGGAACGTTTGTGCGGCATTGCTCAGACCAAACAGCATCCACAGAAACTCAAATAGACCAAAAGATGTAATGGTGGCGGTCTTGGGGATATCGCCTTCTTCGACGGGGATCTGATGGTATGCTCTCGTTAGGTCGATTTTACTAAACACGGACTTACCGCTTAAGCTGCTAGTAAGATCATGAATTTGCGGAATATGGTACTTGTCGGGGTAGGCACACTTGTTCAGTGCCCGATAATCGCCACACGGTCTCCAGTCTCTAGTGTTCTTCGGCAACATGTGAAGAGATGAAGCCCACTGACTTTCGGATGGGCGGATAATACCAAGTTCTAGCATATGCTCGA